CTTAAAATGTGTCCACAGACCTGACACAGCACTATGTTTCACCTAAGCCGATCAACAGATTGAACCTGCTCGGAATGAACAGACGGATTTCGGTGGTATCGGTGAATTCTTAGATCGCTTGTCGGGCGCTTGAGCATCCCAGTCACCTTGGTGACATGACAAGGGCGAACGCGATGCGTGATAGTGTTGCTGGTTGCTTTCAACAACCAGCTAAGAGACAATCCTGATTGTTTACTAATGAGCAGATCTGATTTGGTTATGATTCGAGTTGATTTATTGCAATTAGATTTCAAGTCGCAAAGGGAAGTTACCGACCTGGAAAGCACCAGACCCGCCTTTCGCCCTATTGGGGCTCGTCAGTGGTCCTGACCCGGACGGCCAACCACTGTCCTCCGTACGGGCAGTAACCTGTATGACTCTGGAGGATGGCTCGGGTTATATCCCAGTTTGGTTTCAACCCGTGGTGGTCGGCTGCCGTCCCCCATGGCTCAGGGGCATAAGCTGCTGGCTAGTTGGCGTTAGCCTCTAGCCGTCATGGGTTCGATCCCCAGTAGGGGATCGATAGATGCGCATCACTGTCGTGCCTCAATATGGCAAAAAGCGCGTCTGGTGCTTTTCCGGATTGGTAGCTTACCTATGGGGCTTGGAATATAATTACGATGAACCAACTTGAAACATATTACATTAGTCGAGCGATCTGTCGAAGCTTAGTTCGTGTTATTCGCGAGAAAATGTGCGGTTACCTTACGTCCTTAATTGCTATCGGCTAAAATTTCGCATGGTTTACTGGCACATTCAACCAGGCGCTTTTCATCAGGAACGTCATCTACATCGTTGTTAACCTGGTGATGCAGCTCTGGTGTAAGCGGTTTGGCTTTCGGTGCACTCGGGTTGAGTTTAGATGAGTGAATATTGATCATTGAGCTATGGTGTCGTTCCTGGACTCACTAAACGTGATTGTTGTTAATGCCGGGGGTTAACACTATGTAGAGGAAAAGATGACTAATCCGCTTTGAATACATTTAGTTGTTCCGTTTGCAGAGGTGCAGTATGGGGTGCATAGGCGGTACGCCCAGGGCGGCACGTGACACGGGGCCGCATTTTTATTACCGTCGTAGGTTGGATACCATATATAAAGGAAAAATTATCAGGATAAGCTGTGGGTTGAATATTTTAATGTTACTCTGTATGAACGACAACACATTCGCGCCATGCGTTACACTTGTGCAAATGTTCTTCCTAGTGATGTTCTTATTTGTTCCATAGTGGTCACTTTCAATACACTCAACTCAAGGTCCCGAGCGCATATTAGTTTGCATCGAAAACTAGTGTGCTCTTTACCGATCGTTTGGCCTTCACGCGCCTATGCTGCCCTCAGTAAGAGAGATAATGTTACCACCCCATCGCGTGGCAAAAGTAGTTGCCACTATCCACAGTGCCAAGCCGTCCATCAGTGGACGGTATGTTCGTAAGCTGGTGAGAAAATCTGAGAAATCTGGTGGGTTGTGCGACTCCAAAAAGACAGGGCGACATCGCATCACCACGGATGACTTTTCTGCTTGTGTGGTCATTCATGAGGTGTCCAGAAGCTGCGATCTGAACATTCGTAAACTCGTCCAGCATTGCGACACCATCAGATATGCTCTACATAGAGTTTTGAAGGAAAGGAAATTCCGGAAGTATAGTGTCCGTGAAGTGCATGTTTTAAACCTATGTGCTTCGGAGAAGCGGCTTATTTTTGCCGCGGGTTTCTGAGTGCCATGAACGTCTATTCAATTCTTGTTATCGATGAGGCTGTTTTCTGTTCGCACGGTGCAGAGAAGCAACAGTTTTGGGCAAATTGTAATCCACACCAGTGCAGCGTTTCACGTATAAAACATGGCGCAAACCTCATGGTATAGGCTAGTATAACTGGCTAAAGAATCTTGGGACCGCATGAGATATGATTACAACAGATGTCCGGCTATAACCGCATCATTTACCCACGTAGAATTGGGATGGAGCGAAATAGCAACTTCCACTAACAAATTGCAAATGCCACATGAAGCACGGACCGGTTTACGTCAGGCGGAGCCACTCATCCCTGTGCAGGCGCTACAACCCGACGAGTAAATGTGATTCGCCGAAACGAGTATCTTTTATTTGCGGCTTCAAAACACCTTCTCACCGCAACCCTATGGTGTGTTCGAACACAGTCCACAAGTGTCAAATACCCATCCGGAAATATTTCCATAGATAGCGTGATAAACGTTAGTTTTGCTTGCCCTACATGCTCTGCGTTTCCGCATGCAGCTTCCAGTCGCCTGCGATGGTGTAACGGGTTAAGCCATGCGGCAAACGGCCACACACACTACCCATGTCTGTGAAGTCTGCGTAGCTCAATTTTCTTCTTTAGTATGCCCTCATCAAAGTCCTTATCCACTGGCTATCCAAACACAATCAACGACAGGTGGTAGAATATAATTGCTTGTTACACAACCGTGTTAGAGTGTCATTTATTTGTCAAGCTCTCACATGATTGTTCTACAACGCGGCAACTAAAACGGGTATGCGAAGCGACCACACGCACTAACTTACCGGAAATCCACGATGGTCCTCCGTATATAGAACTGGGTATTGCTAGCAGGGTATGAAGTGTACTCTGACCCATCAGCATAATGAAGTAAGAATAACACTCGCTTAGAACAGGTAGTTTACTGCCCACAGAATGTTTTACAAATCGGCCAAATGAACAACACGTCCATAATTCTTACTGACATGCTGAACCAGTTGTTCACAATGTTGCTGCGTCACTAAGGTTCGTGTCTCAGACACCGCGTGCTCCAAAACTTGAATCCGTTACTCACTTTTATTCATAACACCTTCAGGATCCCCTAGGAGCATATCGGAGTACCGCCCCCTCATTGTCTGTTTTACATAAGCATTTATTACGCTCCAGATGCCCTCGATAAGATTGGGTGCTAGAGAGTATGGCACAAGGCGTAGAAGTCTCCCAGAGCGGTATGGTTCCTCCAGGAAAACGTGCTCCAGTTGCGTGTCACAGGGCGCGTTGTCACAAATCAAAAGACACCTTTCCACAAACCCTGCTCCGTTGGTATCAAGCGCTTGTCGAAGCCACTGAGCGCAACTTTGCTTGTCGCAACTTCCTCTTAGAACCGGACACGCTATCAAGGTGTTGTTTTTCATAGCGCCAACAAGATGCACATTCGGTCCCCGGCTGTTCGCCACCGTACACTGCGTTCGACTACCACGTCGTGATCGGCCACGAGTGTGCGAGCAAAATAACTTGAAATTGGTCACATCAATCCACACCGGTTGCTTACCTTCCACCTCGTAATCCATGAGCTGCGAAAGGAATGATCTGCGTCGCTTTTTGTTCTCCAGCTTGTTCATGGACTGAGAACTGGTGTGCAGTTTCCTTATTGTTATCGGTCTACCATACAAGTATCTTGAGACTGTGCTGGTACTTACTGAAATTTCGAACTCCGCCTTCAACCGCAAACGAAGGAGTTCAAGGATAACGGTAGGCTCCGCAGAAACCCACTCCGTCAGAGAGTCGACGTGGATTTCTCCCAGTGCTCTGCGACGGTCTCTCTTCTGCTACCCCACCGGTTCCGTCGATTCGTACGCCTGTATCCAGTTGCGGCAAGTTTCCACGTTCACTTTCAATGGGCAAGCGTCCTGCTTCCAATCGTCTCCTTCCTTGTGCGCTTTCAGTGTGATGTTCTTCACCTCCGTCGAGTGCCGAACATACAAGCCAACCATTGCATTTAGGTGAACTGCACGTTCAAACCACACATCAAACTTATTTGGCTGTGGCTCTTTCTGCTATGCCAATCGTCTTCAAATCCTTACTCTCGTTCTACTTGGTAGGAATCGCTTCCTAGGACAGAGAAACAAAGGCCCACCTGGTGCATCGGCCACCGACACAGTCCCCGGTAGGAGCTGAAGCGTCCCACCTGCACCCTTATGATTTAGTGCGTCTGAGGTCCTATTGGCTGAAGGCTCTGTACTATGCAGACACACCTACACACCTGCACAAGTGAGCGGTGCACTCACGGCTCAAGGTATTTGAGTAAAGACTCATCTTGTATGTCCCTCAGCGCAACTCCTTTGCCGTTCAGATTAATTCTGTTGCCCCATGAGCAACTTTGCCGATTATTGGCTTAGGTGTGTCAACTTTTGTCCGAGCAATATTTGCCAATGTCACCATCTCCATTGTAAATCTGATACCTCGTTCCGCAAACGCACTGGCTAAACCGCAATAATTTCTCATGCGATTCACATTTCGTCACGCAGTAGTAGATTATTTCAACTGAGTGTATCCCGGGAGTTGTCGATTTCCTTACACCGTAAAAGCATACGCACACCTTGGGTACATCTGGCCCTTGTGTGACTGGTGTGCAATAGCGCAACACTGCTGTATATTTGCGAGAAACAAACATGCCAGAACAACACAGTTGGGGCCCGCACTGCAGTAAGTTGCACGGTGGATCCACTGTTCGAATCTCCAATAGTAAAACGACGGCATGCCGTCGGTAGTACCAAAGAAACACATTGGATCTAGTAGCTACCAAATATAGGACAACTTCTGAAAGTAACGCGGTGTATGCGACAAGGCGGATCGTATAAATATATCTCAGCAGGGTAGGAGCAAGATGATGCAGTGTTAATCAGCTTGGTTACAACCATGGCATGTGGAGTTGCATATAGATGTTAACTTCTGGATTCCACGCCTGTCTTTGCCTCTAGAATGAAGCGACCGTTTTCGATAAATTTCTATTTTCTCAGCTGTCCGACGCGTGTACTTAAGCCGTCGGAGTTATCCTACCACTTTTCCATTTTAGACGCCAGCGAATCCAGTGTCACGATCGATCACCTCCACCAGTTTCTTCATTCAAATCACACCAGACTCCCGAAGAAGTTCGAATTTCACAAGACCAATCAAGAGAAGAGCACCGAGCCACTCAACGTGCGATGAAGCAAAATTACGCAAGGACATCACTTGCCTACGCAAGCATGAATCGGTTCAGCTCGTACGCAAACTCGGAGCAGTCCACTGAGTGTGATTCGGCACCGCTGTCGGAAGGAGACCAGACTTACCCTCCGTTCGAGGAGATCCCTCCTGATTCACATAACCAAATCCATCGCTTTTCTCATCGGCAGGGTAAGACTGGGACTGTTTTGAATTCACCATGTAAACGGGAAGAAAGTTGATTGACTCTTCCAGTCAGACAACTGTAATGAATGCCTTTCACCACCAATCGAGGAGGCATCTTCACTGCGTTGTAGTATATAGCTTGGTAGCAAATGTCGAAGATGGCACTCCGATGGTTGCTGCAACATTTGCAACGAAACTGTCCGGTCCTGAGAACTAACCGACACTCTACCAGGCATTCTGCTTTATAGTAAACGACAAGAAAGCTTCCAGTGGAAACCAGCTACACTGTAGGGCGCTTCGTACTTAACAACTTTACACAACCTGTGTTCCCTAATCTTTGAAGTTTAGATACATTGAGATCGAGCGTGTGGATGGAGCTACGTGTAATGTTAATCATGACGTTCATTATCCTGTAGTAGTGGAAACCATGCCGATGCCGCCGGTTTCCCCGGTGGCCTTAAATTCCGGAGAAATTAGCTGCGACATTGTCGCTTTTTCCCGCTCACTCATATTTACGCGGCATTTAGACGGTTATGGATGAGTTATCGGTCACAGGAATCATTCACAATATCATAATTCAAACGGCATATGTGACAATTAATAGCAAAATCACCCGCGTGTACCTGAGTGCACAAGCAATCGTTGGCTCCATACTTATTTTTAGGTTGAACCTGAGGTATCCAAAGGCTACGTAGCGGAAGAAGGTTACCGACACCTAGTATGCGTTTTTCATTTTCTCTTGGCCCATTTGTATTCGCTAGAATCAGTGTGAATGAAGTCACGAAAACTAACTTCAACTTGCTGGGCTTTTTATGACCTATTCAGATGGTGCACATATTACTCACCGAGGCACTGGAACGCAGCACACAGTTCATCACTGCGCCGACCCATGTCCTGTTGCTGCTGGTGCGCGTTCATCGCACGGTGACTTACCTCATTGCAACGATGTGCAACACGGAACACGAAATCCATCTCCAGTGGGAAAGGACCTCTTGGAAGCACCACATGAAGATATTCCTGCGCCCCACTCCTTCCCATTTCCTCTGTTCTGGAAATCTTGGAAACGAAGATTAAATACCAGTGGCTTTCATATGCCGGAAACCTTGCCTTTGTCGCCCTTAAGGAAACATCCGGTTGGTGATCGGTGTAGGACCGCCTGGAGCATGAACGGCTCATGTGGAACCTATGCTGTCGGCAGCCCAGCTTCCCAATCGCGAGAAAGCACTGACCCGTCAGGGTCACAGTCTGATTTGAACGATTTGGTGAGTGGAATCTTGAGTGTATCACGAATGTTGTTCATGGACAGTGAGTTGATTGAACCTGAACGTGTGTGAGAACAGTATCGCCGCTCATACATGGTGGCCAACTTGAGTTCCCAATGGGTCATGTTCAAGGACTCGGAAGTTTAAACAAGGCGAATGCTTGAAAATATCCTGCTAAATCGTTTCACGTAATCTTATCACTCTACTAAGGGAAGTTAGTCAGATATACTAAATCGGGCTTTCAGAGTGCGGTTTGTTTATCAGTGTGTGATAGACCTAATGGAATTCCAGCTAAACGATTCGCGGGGACTTTTGCATATAGTATAGTCTGGGATGTGCTGAGCAATTGAGCCAGCCAGCGGGTTTGGACCATTCGCAACCATATTACGCTGTTACGTTACAACCACATCTTCATTCGTAAAGCGTGTCTCTTCAATACTTTTCGTCTGGCGTTTTTGCTTATAAATCATTTGTCAATTCCGTGGACTGCCACTCACGAAATCATGGACGTCATCTGGAGCCGTAGAGGACACCGCAGTACTGCAATATGTACTTAATCAATCGTACCATCAAGCAATACACATGGGGACCTAGTCTTTTCAGGGTGGGGATTGGCATGAGTTCTCCCTCTCTTCATAGTTCTGGCTACAATTGCCTGATCTCGATAGCTTACAGGCGCTTTGTGCGTCCCTGATATTACAACATTGACTACGATTGAGCCAACTGAGCAAGCGCGGACGCGGGTAGGCGACTTCCTGCATGTTTATTCCATGTAGATGGTGGGACCAATGTAAACCGATAAAGAGTATCAAACTGTAAAGCAGTAACTACACAAATTGGATACATAGGTAGTCGCAGCAACAAGTTTTCTCCGTTCCAGTGCTGTGGATTCTCACAAAGATCGTATCCCTAACCTAGTATCGACCGCTAGGCGACCGAAAAACGGTCTAATTTATACAGTTGCACAGAAACAGAAGCGTTTCCTGACATTTGGATGTGCTCGAGGGGAAGTCGAATCGATGGGGAGCGGCAGATACACAGTTGATCGGAAGTTGGTAAGTGTAGCTTTAGGTAATGAACGGAGTGGTTCCGTTAGGAATACCCAGTCCTACGAGCGTGTACATTTCGTTCATTGCCGCCGGCAATGTCACGTTTAAAAACGCTGAAGAAATGCTTTATTTTGAAGACCAATTTTGAATCATGCGGGACTGATTTGGTGTTATTTTCAAGCATTCGTTATGTGCATGGATTGCGTCACTCGATCTTTGAAACTAATTCTTGTAGAACGCGTCTGAATATCCAGTGGCTCCAGGCGTCTTGAGGGTGAGATCTTTGCCGATCTTCAGCATATGTATGTTAAAACCCGGTAGATTATTTCTTGATGTTAGTATTAAAATTTGACTTTTGGCTCACTACGTTGCCTTCGAGGAAACCAATTTATGTACGTTATACATACAACAGTAATAATTAGCTGACTGTTGGTGAAGTGTCAGTAATGCACCGGTACTAAAGAAGTGATCAAGCAAATATCGACCACTTTGATGTAAGTTAGTGACTTCAAAGGTTGCGAGAAAACCCTTCTTGAGAAGATGCTAACACAAGCGCGATTGACCGATCTACTTCAAGCTGTCTAGCGCAGTCCGAGGTCTGACGAAGGCACAGTAGCCAACTTCGTGTATCCGGTTCCGTTGGTACTAGACAGTAGAATCAAGTCCACCCGAGTCTGTCCGCTTGACAACAGCAGTGCATTTGGTTGCGTATATCGCGAATTGTTGTTTAAAGATCCGTTCGGTGCTGGATTATATCCTTCCAGCATTCTGTCGTTTAGGCATACTCTTCTCGGTCACACTCAGACTATACGGCTAGGAGGCAGAAACTTCTCACCTATAATCAAGAACACTTGGATTCTTCAGAGAGCCCTTCCCTCACCATTTCCACTTTGCACTTTGGTTGGCTCGATACCAGTCCCATAGGAGGCGAGACAGAGAGAGAGAGAGAGAGAGAGGTACCTGCAGTAGGCCGGTACCCAGTACCGACGCTTAGCTGCCGCGCAACCACCACCAGTCGTTCGTTGGCCAAGCATACTCAGATGGTCGCTCGATCCTCATTAAAGACCAAACGCGCGACCTCCAGATTACAAGACAGGCGTGTGGTCTTTGCGCTCACGGGTGAATATACCAAGGTACGTAGATGACATGGCCTCAAGCACCCATCAGTTGACCATTGCGCCTTCAGTCAAATTACAAGGTTCTTACAATAATCTCATTTTTTGGTCGAAAGCGCGCGAACTGTCACTTTGGGCATCAGCGTGCAATGATGTCGCATTTTGCTGCATATAAGACGTCGTTCTCAACAGCTTCTTAGATAGTCCCCCAAAATCCACATCTATGATCAGGGACTACACTGTTCCAAATCAGTGAAATATCCAGACATCATCAAGGTTTACCTTGCTCCCATCATATGGATGTAATATCCACAAGTCAATGAAGCGAACTCTTGCATTGTTTGGACAATTCCTCTGAAATGTGTTCTCTATTGACATTTGGACTGTACTTATCCGTTCATTCAAACGACTTCTCTTCGTGGTTGTGATGACCGCTCGTGCACTGAACCATATCCACAAAATATACCCGGATAATATGATCACCCTCATACCCTTCCCATGTGCTTGCCTTACTAACTGTTCAATGCGCTGTATGCCTCACACTGTTGTCCAGTGGTTCACACCGGATTTACACCTTCATTCTCTCTCACTAAGGATCTTAGACATTTAATTTGGTTACATCGGTGACTGATGGCCCATGCACTAGGTATCATGTCGCTATCTCCATGACCTTGTAATATTGCTATCACGTTCTTTGAGTGACGCCCTGGTCGTCAAATTTGACACCGTTTAGTTATACGTGTGACTTCTGTTAACCACCCACTCCTCATTCTGTGATTGGACCATCAATGACTGGCTGTTGCCTTTGTTAAGACCTTCATATGTCTATCGTGTGCACATTGTCCTCTGGCTGTCTGGCTTGAATACCACTTTCCTCCCTGTGACTTAATTGCATTTTGTTGTTGGCAGTGGTACACCGTGATCCTGAACAACTAAGGTATGCCCGAGTTACTTAACCGTATATATTTTGTTAGCATAGTAGTTGCGATGCAACCTTGCTCTACTTTTCGGAATCATTGGTTGCGCGTCATTCAAGGTTGGATCGGTGAAAGTCACAGTAAGGTTGTGGTTACGCCGTGCTTGCGTGGCATCCTCCTCTGACCCTCATGAGTTCATACGTTGTTTTGTAATCGTCTGGGTTCTTCCACGTTGGACTTACTGCTCTCTAGTTTTTCTCGCTCTACTGAGTGACTGCATCAAAGTAATCATCAGTTTGTCAAAACACTTATCCCAATGTAGCAGTGTTTCAAAGCGGACTTTTGTCTACATCCTTTTTTTACACTCATGTTAGTTCTTGCAAACGGCGATACTTTGGGACACAATTCACCATTTCACAGTGCATTATCTGCATGTGTTGACTTCGTCAACCAGACCGAAGCCCAACTTCATATATGTCATTTACACGAGCTTACAGATCGCCAGTCATCCGTTATCTAGCGCGATTTCGCTAGGCCCCAGCAAAGTCGTTCGAGAAATAATCAGCCAATTTATGCGATGACGACATTGCGTTTTCCGCCTGCAAGACTCGAGTTCTGTGCTCACTTTGCGATCCCCTTCAGGTGACACTAGCAGCACTTTCTCATTGCGCCTATCCGGTGACGATGCAGCTTCGAGCAACGGCCAAGCCGGTGTTGGTATTGCCTTGAGTCCCCGGTCTGAAACTGCTCTGGTTGACTGAATTCCAATCAGTAGCCGGATGTGTGCGGTCCGATTGGCTGGCTCGTTCAAAACTTCGAAGTCGCGTGTGACTAACAGGTGTCTATTCGTTATCGTTGCCTATGCACCGACAAACTCGAGAGATGATTCGATAAAAGATGACTTCTATCGTTAATTGAACGAGCTGCTTTGCCACAGAAGAAGCTCGGACACTGTAGTGCTGGTTGGGGATCTCGACGCTCAAGTTGGAAATTATCCACTGATGAACTGCGTCTGGGCTGCCAACATG